CACCGAGTCGATCGCCTCCTATTGGAACGGATAGGAAGCAGGAGGTGCCCAGCGAAGTATTCGATGTACATAAATTACGACGATGAAATCATATTACTGGGCGAGAGCGAAGACGGCATTCGGTAACTCAGTGAGTCAGTATGTAAAACCACAGCTAAACCCTGCAAAAACAAATCTGATGAGAAACCCAGAAGGTACCTGAAACAGATGCAGTCCGCAAACGGAAGCAGTAGCACCAGGCTGAAGAAGTCTCGCAGTTCAAATATCTGGCCACCGTCAAATGCCAACAGCATCTGCCAACATACGCGTCTGTCCCGTTTGTCCGGTTGCTTTATTGACTGTTTCTATTAGCTGTTACAAATCTGCTAGAGAAGTTATCCTTAACACTGTGCAACGAAAAGTACTGAAAGATTTATTTGATTTATTTTCTACTTCCCTTTCATCTTATACCTTACTAAAAATCTTTTTAATGCTGGTCGTATAAGAGCTTCACCAAACTCTTGATTAAGGTCGGTGACTCTGGGGGTAGCTCTGACCAAGCCTTTGTTCACAGGAGTTGGTCAGACAGAAGGTCACCTAATGCTACTGCAGCCAACTACGAGCTGCAAAATTTTTGCAGCAGACACCCACGCGAAAAAATAGGCAGTCCCATCTTCATATTCAAAATAAGCTATGCAAGGTGAAGCAGTCCTGAGAGAAACAGCCAAAAACGAAGGACTACGATTTAAACACGAAATACGACACAGTATGGTTTCTAATGACCAATTACCAGCGTTATCCGTTCCTGATTACCCAAAAACGAGGCCGCATATTCCGATATGTAGTTCTTCATCTGACTGAGATACACTGCTTCGACTTCTTGAAAATTCTGAAATGAAATGAAGCGTTGAACGCAAGGCAATAAACAAAGTCTATTCATTGACCTTAGCGGCTTCAGACATCCTCGTCATGAATTCGATTCTGACAGACGCATATTTTTCGACGTATTGCTGATACTCTTCTCCTACACAAATTGAATGCATATTAACATTATATGTTATATACTAATTATTCATCGTCGTAATCTGATGCATAAATTTTTGTGGGTAGGTGTAAGAACGGTATGCGACTAGGTTCTGCTGGTAATTTTGATCTCAATGGTCCAGAACAAAAAACGGCGTTCGATAACTACGAACATGAACGATAGCTAACTGTATCTAGCACAAAGTTCAATAAAGTTTGGAAAGCCGACCTGCTCCTTAACTCCCAGAAGTGAAAAGATTTGAGGAATTCATACGGTATAACCAGTCTACATGTGGAACAGAGAGGTGAAGCGTTTGAGAAAGTTCACCAATTTAAATGTCTCAGTTCAAACATCTGCAGCAATGTCACCATGAAATCAGAGTCAAACAGGAGGAGGACAGCCGTTGCGTCAAATGTTATTGGAAACATGGCCAATATTTGGGCAGATAAAGGGGTAATTTTTTCACAAAAAAATATCAGTCTATATCTTTCCCTTGTCGAGCCTTACTGTTGTGTGGAATGAGGGCAGTTTTTCTAACGAAATAGGAAGAACGACAAGCGAACTGCATGCAGCAGGCGCTGGTTCTGAAGCGTAATGAGAGTAGCAAGAAGACGTCAGAATTGACTATATTCTATCTATGGCATGTGAATTCAGGAGATGCTGAGATTAAGAAAACGAAACTGCCTTGTCTGACAAACCGCTTGAGCATAAACCATTAACTCCAGTTCCTGAGCTACTCGTATGGGAACCGAAACAAGGCAAACATCGACTAGGAGAGCATCATGCAACATGGAGTAAAAACAAAGAGGAGCATATGCGCTAGAAGAGGAATATTTGCTTCTTCGATCCATTAACCGGTGCGTTATAGCAAAATTGTCAAGAAGCTGCGAACACAATGGACATCACAAACCAGAGATGTTCTGCTTATGCAAGCGGCTCAAGACGATCTCAAGGTGATGAACTCAACGAACAAAACACCACAACTAGAAAAGAAACAAAAGTCTGCAACGGTCTGAATGTCAGTCCAACGTTTTCCTAATGGGGCCATTTCTGTAGCCCTTGTTTTCAAGAAGTTGCATGTGGACCGCTGATATTAATTTCCATGGCATCAGCGACGAATGCCTTACTTCATATGCGGATTGGACAGCAGCCATGCAAGCATAGTGCATAGTCTCCTGTTGCCTTGCAAGAGTGGTATTTGTTTATGTACCTCGAAAGAAAGAAATGCGAATGGCCCCACAGAAGCTCGAAACCGGGAACAATCGGCTCAACACTCTACCAACTGAGGAACCCCGGCACTACAGGGAGATAACATGGTTCCGATGTGTGGATACCAGAATGGATGAGGTGCACGCATATGCTGTCCAATGCTAACGCCCCTTGTGGTTGCATTTCGCGTCGACCCTTCCGACAGCTGAATATTACTGTAATAATCAGCACAAGATATTATCCTGAAGAAATTAAATGCGACAAAACAGCTAAAACCCTTACGTGCTTTTTTAACTCTCATCTCTGATCGAGCTACTTCCTTTGAAGTTCCGTTCTCATGTTTCAGCTTCTCCAGCTCCATGCATCGCAGGAAGTAGTTTTCCTTCGCCTTCTGTAAACATGTCGTCGTTGTCTGAATCAAATTCACCGCATCGTACGTTTTCGACTGTCTTTCTTTCACCTTAAAGAATCACAAAAATCATTTAAAAAAAACTAAAAACAGGGAGACCTTGGCACGGACTTGAAGAAACTCACCGTTTTGTGTATCTTGATTGCTTCGTCGGTGTACTTCTGAACGTTCTTTGAAAGATCGACAAGACTTTTAACAAAATTTCTGTGCAGATCAGCATGGCTTTCAACATAGGTTTTGACCAAACTCCAAACCGGAGAAAACGACCTAAAGCTTAGATAATTTACAAAAACTAAAACGTTAAAATATTAACAGATTTATAATGATTCAAAGCGTTAATCTGTGTTTAAAAAACAAAGCCAAAGTTCTCCAGAAAGCAATAAGGCATAAGGAAAAAAGATTTAAACAACTCAAAACATATAAAAAATTATTTACGGAAACTATATTTCAAAGATCAAAGTAAACAGGGGGATTTACTTAAGTATTTTCATTTTGACAACAATCGAGAAACTTACATGTCTGCAAGCAAAAACTTCATGCAGATCAGCAAAACATTTAAACACATATATGCGCATGCAGGAACAGAGTAGTTCATGCTATTACCGTGATGTTCGGACTTAGCTTAACTTTGGCCAAAAACGGCAGTACTCAGTGAGCAACACGGCCGAATGAATACCACCAGTAGAAAAAATGCATTTAAAGCACCATTTTACGTTACATGCATAATATTTCAATTAAATATGAATGCCTCTATAGTTGCCTAGAAGGGATACATAGAAACAAGCCACGGTTCCATGGCATTTCAGTACCTGTAGTTACAGATACATCTCGAATGAGTCTGTCTGCTACCGCCATCTCGTGCTCATCACAAATGACGTTTTAGACGTTCGCATTTTTTATATGCTACGGCATATAATACTCCAGTCTTACTCATACAGTCTGTGATAACGTACAGTTCATTGGGTATGTACAAATTCGTCTAAATGATCAGCTGTGCTCATGTTTCTATGCTTTATGAGGTGTTATGTTAAGGACACACTTGACACAAAACTTTGCACGTCGCTCCAAGAACTGGACTAGCCTGTGTCAAGATCCATTTATTATACGGATCAACCGAATTTCTATGAATTGAAATAAATTTGATTTATGTTAATAATCAGAAACATATTTAAATGCATGGATTCCTATTTCTGTGCTTTTTACCTGTTGCCAAAATTATGACTTAAACATCGAACAACAGTCTCCTGCTTATTCTCGTAACCGCTGAATGATTAATATGCATAAATAATACGCTCTGCATAAATATCATTATCTGTTCGTTAGCCCGTGTATGACAAACAAAGCATGACTCCTTCAAGACAAGACGTTACGGATTATTCACCGCCCCTGTTTAACGAACAGCTTGCTATATTTATGCGGTAGCGTATAAATAATACCATCGAATGACACTGGTATTGCAAATGCTCAAATACCATGAAACCTTGGCCAGATTGAACGCTCCCCCCTCCCCGCCACAGGCAATTATGAGCAAAGGCGGAGCGAAACGCCGTAAAATCTGGTCTTGGAGGAGTAATTTATTACTTGACGTACTCTGACGTGTGGACAGATTACGATGTTTATACTTATTTATGTCTATGATCAGTTGTAGCGATTTGACGGGTACAAGCAAAAGCAGGAGACTGTTGTTAACGAACGACTATTTGGCGAACAGCACAAAAAAGGACATAGCGAAAAATCCACGCATTGAAAACATTTTTATCTAGTAATGTAAATCAGCTGAAATACAAATCCATTTTTATTTATACAAACAGAAATTAAGTGCTATGCATAATAAAAGAATATGGGCTCAAATCAGTTGAGATCTTGCAATTATGTGGTAAATTTCACGTCAAGGGTGCCGTAACTTTAAATCAGAACGAAACATAATGTAGAAACGTGAACAAAACTGAATCATTAATACGAATCTATATATGCCCATGAATTGTATATAATCACAGATTGTATCGACTGTATCTGTACACACTAAAATAGACTTGCATATGAATCAATTCATTTTAAAGATTAAACATGCTTTCACGTAAGGGTACTAATCACACTGCGTGTTTGACCGGTAGTCACGAATTTTATTTCAATGCCGACGTTGCGGCCAAACAGTCGTTTTCATCAGCGCAAACATGAACTATGCTACAGAGAGCTGAACAAACAGCTCTAACGCCTGCATATTTGTGATGACTGCCGTTACTCACACTGATCGCGCCCATTCGATGGTCATTTCCAGGGTTAGGAAGCAAAGCTAGTACTCCGGTTGATAGCTGAGTTTTAATGGTTTACCTTGGTTCATTAATCGGTATTTTTAGAAGATCGTTTCTGAAAGTCTCAGGAATATAAATATGATATTAGCCATTGCCCATAATGAAAAAAAAACAATATCTCCAATTTGCATGTAACAGCAATTGTCATTCTTTTTGGAAAACTTGTAATGCAATACCGACGCATACGAAAAACACGTTCAGTTCTTACTGTTGACGTTTTGTAGATTTTTTTCAGGTACATCAGGAATGATAACGAAATTATTTCCATCAATTTCTGAGATGAAGCAAAAACAAGGGCGAAAGAGAACAGAGCTAAATAAATTATCCGGGTTAGAAACGTCAACACAGACCGGAAGAAGTATATGAATATCCACGTATTCTAAATTACACGCTTGCCACAAAATTAGCAGAATGCTCAGGAGAAGGTGCAAAACGGAATAGTTATGACGTCTCTTAGAATCCTGAAATTTACTCAAGCTAAGAATGATGAACAGTCATTAGTACTATGCCAAATAATATATTAGCATTCACAAACACACGGAAAGTAAGAGATCTGATTTCGAAGCTTGTTTCGCTTATTTGCTGATATCTGCTAAAAAAATTTGTGTACTTCGACAAGTACACAAACATACATACGTTAATATCAATACCAACCATATACTAATTATGAATATTAAAACTTTTACACAGGCAAAATGATTCAGCAGCACACGAAGTCAAGTCGCAAAGACAAGTAATAATCGCTCAGAGTGATGAAGATGCTACTTCAGCTCTGTAATACCAAACGACACTAAAACGGCTACAACGCTACCAAACAAAGAGAAAAATGAAACCGATGAATAACATTCCTGCAACATGATATACCGAACCGCATTTCGAGGAGTAGCACATAGCGACACAAAGCTGAACGATCAACGAAACGTTAAAACGGTCGTTTGGCAGCTCAGAAATAATCGAACCATCGCTGCGATTTCAAAGGATACCGGAACCTTTCAGCGAGGTCAAAGATAAGTTCAAAGAGGAAAAGGTTTAAAACGTAGATCATAATTTTTTTTGTGAAGCTTGAGGGTCGTTTATTAACGGACATTTAAAATACGATACCGCTTTTTATGCACATGGTACTCTGTTGTTTATCTGCTGATTTAGAAAGCATCTTTATGAAATTCCTGACCATTAAGTTAAGGACCATCACCTACAAGAATCCAATTGCTAATGTAAAGCAGAAGCATGTTCAAAATCGAAAACCGAATTCAAAACGCTGATGTAATATCACCGAAGTAATTTGTTGCAACCACAAAATAGTCCTACAAGACACTCCATTAAGAAAATTAGGGGTTGAACATAAATGAGCACTACTAAACTACCCGCCGTTCGAGTGTACGATCTCCTGATCTTGTCAAGGCAGCGAGAAGAACTTCAAAGAAGATTCAAAGAGCTGAACGATGTCAACATCAAAACAGAACCCTATAGCAAACTCAGGTAATATTTAACGAATACGTGACCATGCGGCCTGTTGAAATAAACGGGCTTTTGCTTGAAGATGTGCAAAACTACATCGATATGGGACAGCTCATCTCTGCAACGGACAATTGACTCTGTGAAATCGACAGAAGAAGATTGCATTGAAGATAGCTGGGAGCACTTTTGGAAGTGAAAATTGGTCTTGTCCAGAAAATCGCTCTTGCACTTGAATTGCAATATTCGAGCGTTGTCTTCTCCAATGTTAAAGTGTGGGTGCGAAACGAAAACCTTAGTAAAATTTAAAGTTATTTACTACCAACAGACTGCGCAACGCAGTATGAAAAGATGTATATTTGGAACAATCAGAAAAGATGGGAAGACAAATAAATAAGTAGGAACACAAACAAGGGTTTCTTATGTCACTGACCTAGTGAGGAAATTAAAGTAACAATGGGTTGGACACGTTGCAAAAAGAATCGATCTTCGCTGGACCAGAGATATGTTAAAAAGGTTTGCAAGGCACACTAAACAGCTCGTAAGAAGACCTGAAGATCGATGGCAAGATGAGCTGAAGAAGCCCTAGATCGAGAGAGACTGCATTTTGCTGCTTCATTTGCATATTATTTATTCCCTTCTATTATGTGTGGCATCGAAATTCGTAGATTAATACAATATTTTGCATTGTCCTTTTCACCTGCTGCTTTGAGAAACGGATCGGGAAGCGACGATCATAAACAGGCAACGAATCGATACTTCTTTCGATGTTGTTGTTGTCATCGTCGTCTGCGGTATCAGGGTCAAAGACCGAGTAACCAGACCAGATCAATGATGTATGACGCTATGACTTTTCAGAAGGACTGAGACGATGTTGGTTCTGTGGCAAAGATCATGTTCCGCGTCGAAACCAAGTCGACTTCTAGCAGCTGCTCTAGCATGAGGTGCTGGTCATTTTTTGCTTCTCAACGGAGAATGGTTTTGGATAGGTCTCAAATATCTCTCTGGAAGGTTCTCTCAAACCGCGAGGGACGCGTGTTCCGGGTTTCTTTCGACACCGTTTTGAGGCCAGTCATCGCCAAGATCAAAGATCATCGTCATTCGATGGAAGCAATAGACTTTCAGAATGCTCGGCAGACTTACTTGCATGCCTATCATCATATTATTTCTCATCCTTCGTCCTGTCAGCCATAGAGATATAACACATATGCACTCACAGAGTAGATTATCCCATTAAAAAATCATGTGCACCTTACTTGGTGTATTTCTGACGGTACCGCGATTAGTACGATATTTCGGTCTTCGCCTTGCCATTTAAACACTCATCGAGGTAAAATCTTTTTCCATGCTCATGGAATCAACTTTGCAATGCTAACACCTCGGTTTCAAACGGCTCCTGTGGTGCTTACAATGCTTCGTTCATGATTTTTTCTGGTCAGTTGGTATTAGACTCGATGGACGTTCACATAGTCTACAGAACGAGATTCACATCCTGTTATTCTAAGCTTTCAAAAGCTGGATGTTCACAATGGAAATGATATCCTTTGCAACATGTGTAGAAAAACAGCTGGGGAGGAGCCATTCTCATCGACTGGGTCGGAATACTTCGCAAAGTATTTTGAAATTCCCTAAAATCAGAGATTTCGTTCATACTAACGCGGATACATGGCCAATGATTGTTGACTCGGAACTCCTCCAAAATGTCTAATAATGTCACTTAATTTATCAAGACAATAAAATAGTTTCCCATGCCTGAAATAACGTTTACGCT